GCGACCTGGAGGGGGCGGGGTGTGAAATATCTCACTTGTATTTAAAGAGACCGCACCAAAACAGCTTGCTCTGAGGAGCAAAAAAAAAATGAGGAATTAAGACCAAAGCGTTGTTGTTTTAAGTGAATGATTTAGACGTGAAAAAGAAGGATTTAAAAGCATGACATGATACCTTTAAATTTCTGAAGGTAAACACAAACACGGATCAGACTGACCCTGAGAATCACGGTCAGGTCCTTCACGGGGGTCTCGTTCAGCCGGATACGACCCTCCTCGGTCGCCTTCTCAAAATACTCCATACTCTTAAATCTGAAGCTTTTAAACACCTCCTGGAGGCTCTTTCCAATCCACCGACCTTTGCAGTAGGTCTCGAAGTCATAGTAATAAGGATACACCTTCCGCAGCCCGTTCTCGAAGTAATAGGACGCCTCGTCGAAGTGCTCCTGGCTGAAACTGACGCCCGGGTTGCGTTTCTGCGGCGGCGGGACGTATCTGTCGCCCGGCCGGAGCTTCTTTCCTCCCGTTCCTCTCCTCCTCTTACCGCCGCCGCTCGTCTCCGGTTCATCCTCGCTTTTACGTTTTCCTTTCTCGGTCTCGGCCTGTTCTCCCACCAACGCCGGTTCCGATTTTACGTCCGGCAGAACTTCTGTGATTTTTACCGCCTTCTGCTCCATCGCCAAGTGGTTTTCTTTCATCTGCAAATTCATAAAACTACGACCCAGAAGCTGTTTAAAGCTACGAGACGGAATAAAATGAGCTTCGTGCATTTTAAGGCTAATCTGAGCCACAAACAGTGGACTTCTAGCGATTAATGAACTCACGCGCATACTTTCCAATAGCGAATGGGTCCTTCTTGAACGGGCGCATAATGATGACGTCAGTGTAGTCCAATAGTGTCGTTTTTTAAATTTATTTAATTCTTTCAATTTGAATAGTGTAATTCTCACTTATAATTTCCATTTACACAATATGGCAGATTATAATTTGTTTACTTTTATAAAATTAATTTTTGTTTTGGTTTCATACAGTATGTCTTCACTTTTTATACTAATTTTATGTTTCTTGATATGTTTTCCTATTCTGCAGAATTAAACGAACCCAGCTACTTTTGTTGATGCATGTAATAATAAATGTAATTTCCCCGTAATATAAAAAACACCCTCAGATGTCAGCATAATTTTGTGTTTAATCACTACAAATATAAACAAAACAAGCCACTTCATGCAACATTTTCTTTAACGATTCATTTTAATTTACACAATTAAAAACAATATGTGCATTCTTCAAAAACGTCAGTTTTTTCTGGCACATCCATTGTCAAACAGGACATATTCTACACATACTGTACACAAGTAAAAACCTTTCTGCAAAATATTTCTTGCTAAATTATGCAAATTTTGTTATAGTTTTGTCGCTTTTCCATGTTTTTACTGCATTTGTAATCAAAGCATTCCCTTAAGATTGCACACACATTTCTCCTACAAGCATTTTTAACAATTACTGTTGCKTCCACGATGTAATAGGTCATTGCTTCACCAGCTTCCTCATAAACAGTGCTGCCAGTACTTTCTCATCAACATTCCTGTTTACGCCAAGAACTGCAGGAACACGGCAATCAGTGACCCAGAGGTCACTTATTCAGTTACTTATCGTGTCCACTCTCCAGGAAGATAGTCTGTTTGGGATCAAGATTCTCCTTGTTTGTGTGGAACTCGGCTGAGAAGCTCGTGAACGCAGCAGCAGCTCTACGGGAGCCCAGACACGCAGCACCAGCGCCACCTCCTGAAGGGGCAACCACACTGCAGTCAGAGCTCAGCGCTGAAGAAACGAGAAAGGACAGCCGTGAAGGTGAGAAGCTTATTTTCACTTTTGGAATCACAGATTTAATATGAGTCAGTTTTGCTTTTTCTTACCCCGGCCACTGGTGCCTCTTGTCAGTGAGTGGAACATAAACCACTCCCATCAAGGCTTTCTTCAGGAAGGTCCCGTCGCTTTGACGATCGTACTGCTCCAACACCTGACTGCCTCCTTCAGGGCCCACGGGAAGAACCAACCGACCCCCTGGCTTCAGCTGCTCCAAGAGCTTTTGTAAGAAACATCATGGAGGTAAAATAGAAGTCTGAAGGGCTTTAGCATCTTTACACAGTGGTGGGCAGCACTAATCTAAAAAAAAAAAAATAGTTCCACTAGCCCTAAAGCACTAACTCAAATATTTAGGTCCCCTAACTCAGTGGCGGATGCTGGTCTTTCAAGGTGGGGAAGCTCAGTTTCGGCCTACATCATAAAATATGTTGGTTTATTTATACATAAATTCTACCCTCCGTTCCTTTTCAAGGATGAGGGGTGGAGGAGCTCAGCAGCACCCACTGGACAGAAACTGCGACAGAAGTCAGAAAGACTGATAGAAGTCAGTCTCCAAACACAAGCAGCTACAAAAATCCCCACCAGAAATAGAAGCTTGATTTGTCGCTAGTCGTTTTTAACAAAGAAAATGCCGCTAAGAGGATTAGGAAAGTCTGCGGTTCAACTCAGAACAGACTGAAAATTAAAAACTGCTCCCATGGAATGTTTACACCAAAAGATCGCTGATTCGCTCATTTCGCTGTCAATCAAAAAGGGATTCAGCCTCCGACAGATCATCCAATCGTCATGCAGAAGCTGAGCGTCCAGGCCAGCCAAGGCCAGCCCACTGCCCCATAGACCCCCAGAGACGCTCAGCGTCCTATGGGCGGGACAAAGCCAGCATTTATCCAAGGACTCGTCTCGTTTCGCTGCACCTTTTGCTTCACTAATGAACTCATTGGAAGCTCAGCGTCCGCACTGTTTTAAGCACTGTGAAGCTGCGGGAATGAGGGAGAGGAAAGCCGCGTCGTTACCAGTGACAGGAAGCTGATTCTGAACAAAAGTTGAGCGCATTGTAGCGCATATTTGGTCAATGACATGTACTCACAACAGTATATATTTAATCACTTATTTTTTTCACATTTAAGGGGAAGCTGAGCTTCCCTTGCAGTTTTAGAGCAATCGTCTCTGCCCTAATTCTAAAACACTAACGCACTGAAAATTTTAGGAAAGCTAATTCTAAAGCACTAAAATAACCCAGTTGACCCATGAACATTATTCAACAGACAACATGAGTCACATGTTGCTCTCTTAAGACTTATCATTGACATTCCACAGCTGTATTTGAGTTCATATATTGTCAATAATGTCACCTGGTGGATAAGAGACACACATACAGTATGAACAAAATGTGTGACAGCTTCACCCTCAGCTGTTAACAATGTTGATCAATAACATTTATAGACCTCAGTTAGTGCTTCTAAATTTAGCCTATAAATTTAGGAAGTGCTAATCAACTAATAAATTTTAAAATTAGCAAAAGCCCTAAAGCACTAATCAGGAAACTAGTTCCCCTATTAGTGCTTTAGGGGAACTGTGCCCACCACTGTCTTTACACATGAGAAAATTACTTTTTATACCATAACAATGTACTTAATAACTAGAAAAAGTCCAGCTTATTTCTTTTTTTGTTGAACCATAATGGAGATAAAGAAATGAATTGATGTTCTTACAGCCTTGGGAACAGTAGCTGCAGCAGCACCAACATGGATGGCATCGTATGGCGCGCCGTCTGGAAAACCAAGTCTTCCGTCTCCCACTGCCAGCACATTAGGGGGTCACAGGGGGCCCAGCTTCTTTTTAAATATCAATATTTCAGAAAGACGTCACCTTAAAGCCTCCTGACTTACCTATAAATCTCACCCGTCCAGATGACAGCAGTTCAGGGTCGTCGGCTCGCACGTTCTTCATCGCCATCTGCACCAGTTCATCGATGTGTTCGATGCCGACCGCTCTCCCGCTGGAACCTGTCTACACGAGACAGGAAAACGCAGCTTGGCCCTCCAGTCGTACTGGGTATTAAACGCGAGGTCCCATTAAAGAACGTACCATTCTGGCAAAGCAGGCTGTGAGGTATCCGCTGCCTGAACCTACGTCCAGAGCCGTGGCGCCGTCGATCAGTTTGTCGCTCAGCAGCTCCAAAGCGTGCGCGTGCTGTCGGCCAATAAACGCAACAAAATCATTTATGTGCTTCAACTCTGTTTAGCTTCTTAATTGATCCAGTTGAGTGGTTGTTACTCACCATGTGGGGTGCGCTGATGGTTGCCCTGTAGCCTGTAAACATAAACATCATGAAATGGAGACACTGATAATCTGCACCGATGAAACAACTCTGAGTCGAGGGGTGTTGATACCACCAAGTTGAGCTGTACAGAAATAATTCATTGGTTTTATTGTTCCTGGAATAAGTACCTATGGTCTGCGGAGAATCTGCGTAAGGATAGTCTCTAGAGTAAAGCCCTCTGTCTGTGGCCAGCATGGCTTCGAACACTCTGTCGTTACGAATGACTCCCTGATCTGAAGAAATAAAAAAAAATTAAAATTAAAATCAACACGTGACAAAGCCGCAAACAATACATTATCTGTGCCCAAAGTATAACTGGTGTTCAAAACAAGTCGGTCATTCAGGCCTAGCAGCTGGTTTTAGACTGAGACACATTTTACTGCCATGTGTGCCAGGGGCAACATCTTCTCATCAGTGAGCATCCCCAGCTGTCAGGCGGAAGACAAAGTTAGAACAGGGTCGTCAAAGGGACTGAGGAGGGGAGGGCCATCAGGACACGGATTCCTGGGACTGATGGTTGCATCAGACCTGAGCTGGACTCATAACCCCACAGCCACAGTGAAAAAAGCTCAGTGTAGGCTGTACCAGTGTTGTGGTACTTGAGACCTATCTTGGTCTTAAGACCACTTTTTGATGGTCTTGTCTCTGACTTGACAGCCTTTGTACTTGGTCTTTTCTCCGAATTCTACTTCAAGACCAGCCAAGACCACAGCTGTGGAAATATCACTAAAATAGCCAGATTATTGTCCAATTTACCTGTTAACATCTTTGCTTTCATTGAAGGTAAAATGTACTGATTCAAACCTGACTCCTTACTATTTATGTATTTTTATTATACGCAAAGATTTTGTCAATATTAGCTCTATTTTTTAAGTTAGCTACATGTGTAAAGAATCCTCTCTTTTAAGGCACTGTTTTTTTTTTCCTGGTCTTTGTCTTGACTCGGTCTCGACCCCCCGAGGCCCTAAAAGTCTTGGTTTTGTCTCGGTCTTGAGACAAGACTTGACTGGTCTCGGGTTAGGTCAGCGGTTCCCAAAGTGTGGGGCGCGTGCGCAGTGCCATTGCAGGTGGGGCGCGACTTGACCGAATGGAGCGGAGGTGGAAAGMGGGGATGCTCAGACGTTGTTGGTCTGGACAAGTTTTTAATGGAAGATTTATTCTTAATCAACAAACCTTTAATTTTTTTTCCTCTCTCAGGGTGTGGTTCATGTTTAAAAACCCACTTTGCACAGAAATACTTTTATAAGATTTCTTGAAGCAATGTTTAATATTTTCACAAAGTTAAAAAAAATACACTTAAATTATTACTGTTAAGATGTTTTTAAGAGGTTGTAATTTATTTCAATCTATTTTTTTCAGTTTTCTTTCATTAGTTCAAATGTTAAAGAACATTTTGTGGTAAGAAATAAACTGAAATGGATTTAAAAACAAAATATCTGTGTATGTGGTTGGAGATTGTGTATGAGTGTGTGTGTGTATAGGTGTGTGTGTGTGTGGTTGTGGTGGTGGGGCATGAAATTATTTTTATAAAGCAAAGGGGGGCCCATCAGATAAGGTTTGGGAACTACTGGTGGTCTTGACTACAACACTAGGCTGTACTTTATTTGGCTGCTCAAGAAAGTTGGTCTGAACCAGCGCCGTCCCACCAGACTGATAGAGAACATCCTAACCACAGGCACCACTGTGTGCCCACTCAGACACAAAACCTGTAAATACCTGAAACACAACAGTAGAAGTGTCTTCATCCTCTGAACCAGGCTTTTAATACTTTTTCCCCTGAGCCACAGTCAGACTGCAATACAAAACTCCTGAGCAGGTGCAATAAAAACCCTGCACTACCTAACAAGTGACGGTGTAAATGTCATTCATTTCCTGTACACTGTAAATATAATTTATGTCACGTTATGCTTCTTTTCTTTGAAGAACCTATATTCAAATTAAGGATGTGTTTCAAACAGACACTTGTAAAGTTAAACACAAAAAGAAGGCGAACGTCTCCATGTGCTCCATTAAGAACAGGCACTCTGCCTCTGACGACTGGTGGGAAGATTCAAAGGGGCGCCAGAAGAAACAAGTTTATGTGAATTGAGGAGGAGTTTCATTTTATATTTCACTGTTCTTTGTATTGTAATTTAAGAAATAATTTGTTTATCAAGATGCAACAGAAAACCCCCTGACCTGTTTTGGCTGTCCGAAGCACATATGTTAGGTAGGCTATTTAACAAAGAGACGTTTGCGTTTTGTGCAACATTTATTGAACGAGCTTGGCAACGAAGACGGAGAGTTTTGTGTCCTTGATAGTACGTATTTTTTGTTATGGAATTTATTAGTTTTTTAACATTTTATAATCTTTGGAAAGCTTGTTTGGTAGCGTTCTTCACATCATTTTAGATGTATACGATGTACAGTGTCCTGTAAGTCTATGTAGGCTGGGCACCATACCATGATGGATGACACTCAAACAAACAAACATATAAATAAACAAATAAATGAATAAACACAATTTTTTCTTTACTGTGCATTTCTAGTGTTATCTGAAATGTTTAATCATAACTAAGAGAGATCTGCACAAGAATTCCAGTGCGCCTGGACTGTTGGTTTACATTTACAAAAGGCAAATAAAGTTATTTTGTTTCTTTGTGCTGAAAAACAATTATCCCCAAACGTATCTGTGCAGCACATCTCTGGAGAAGCACAAAGCAGAAAAAGTGACTAAATGACTGCTCATCAAAAATAATTACACCTTTCAATTTATTGTGCGTGTTGTTAGTTTGTTGTGTTATTTTGTCATTGAGGTTGTGTGTCACAGTGGTGTTGCATGTCTTCAGCTGTGATGGCGACAAATCCCTTACAACTGCTGTACATGAATAACGCCTCTCAATAATTACCTAACAGTAAAAAGTTGTCCAGTTTATTCTTGTAAAACAGGTTGTTTTTTTTTTTGCTTGTTTCTTTGAAAAAAGTGATCCTGACAAAAAGACAGGAAGCGGCAGAGATGAAGATGTTGACACTCTCCTTGGAGGAACCAGGATGGATGAGATTAGGAGTGAGATCATCAGAGGTACGGCACAGGGAGATGAAGTTAGACCAGGGGTGGGCAATCCTGGTCCTCGAGGGCCGCAGTCCTGCATGTTTTACATATTTCCCTGCTCCAACACACCTGATTCAGTCATTGAATTACCTCTTCCAAGTTCTGCTGTATGGAGGACCGACACTGACATAATTAGAAATAAAAGCAGAAACACATAAATGAACAACTAAATAAATAAATGTTTAAAATGCACCAAATAAATTACAAAAGAACTTTAACTCGAGTTTTATAATTTATTTTACCTTCATATTTATTTTTCCAGCTTAGTTCCAATAAATTGTATATTTTAACACAGAATTTAAATTTTAGTTTTTTAAAATATATATTTTTATATAGTTTTTCCTTTTTTGTGCATGCATTTGTGTCTCTTAAATGCTCAAATTTAATTATTTTTACATAATTTTTTAAATAAAGGCAGAGATAATCCTCTTTGCCTTTGTTTTAAACTAAACTTTAAACTTTAAGCTAAATTTAGGCACCACAAGCATGCAACACATTGAAATAAAAAGACTTACTGGAAAAAATGTAAGCATAATTAAGTGTAAACATTTAAGACACACAAATGCACGTACAAGTAAAGGAAAAATAATTAATACATTTGTAAAAAACAGTAAAATTTAAATTGTGTGTTCAAATATATAGACTAATTTATTGAAACTAACCTGGAAAAATAAATATGAAAGTCAATTAAAATATAAAACAGGAGATAAAGTTCTCTAATTCTGCTTTTATTTGTAATGTCAGTTTTGGTCCTCCGTACTGCAGAAGCCTGATAATCATATATTCATTCAAATCAGATGCGTTGGAGCAGAGAAACAAGTAAAACATGCAGGGCTGCGGCCCTCCAGGACCAGGATTGCCCACCCCTGAGTTAGACTGAGATGGTTTTGACATGACATGTAAATGTKGCTGTCAGGACAAAAACGAAGGCCAAAGAGGAGATATATGGATGCGGTTAGAGAGGAGCTGGAGATAGCTGGACAGAGTGAGATGGAGGAGTATGACTCGCTGTGGTGACCCCCTGAAGAGAGAACAGCAAAAAGAACAAGAAAGAGAAGCTATCTGTCCTCATCATGACTGATTATTACTGTTTCAGGATGTTTACTCTTTTTATTATAAAGAAGAGGGGCACAGGTACTATAGAAACACTCACTCTGTGAACAAGGATGTCAAAGCACGTATCTCTGCCATGATTACCTCTCAGCCTGTTGATGAGCTCTGGATGTGTCTTCCCACTGGACATTAAGGCCATGGTCCGGGACAGCAGCACACCCATCGGGACAGCCACTACAACCAGGCGCAACACGGCGCGCATCTCCCTGGATCCTCTCCCTGCAGGTCAACAACCACTGTCATCCTCAGTGTTTGACACACAAACAAATATATCCTACAGACTGTCTGTAAAAGCTTGTAAGCCAGGTTGAGCTGCTGCAGGAAGAAGTACAACAGTTAGCCAGCGAGCTGAACCGACTTTAATAGGCGCCACTTTATGAAAATACACACCGTTACTTAGTCACTAATGCCTGAGTTGTCCACAAAACAATTGAATGTGGGTGATTTTTATAGTTGTTTACCTTGCTACTTGCTCACCGTCACTTTAAGGTGAYACGCACACTTCCTGGTTCCTCAACAGATCCGAAACAGTCCTCGACCAATAGGATTCGGTGTTTTAAACGCTGGGCCGTAACTGTCCAATCACATCATGTATTTTGATTGACAGCTAAATTATCCAATTACATAATATTTAAGGGCGGGTCCACTGTTAAATGTGTTCCACAGTTAGCCGCTGAAGCTAAACCTCTGTCTTCAAATTCAAGTATTAGCTGAAATAGCTATTAACCGGTCGAGATTATTACACAGGTAAGACATATATTTTGTATCGTTAATGTAACAAATTGTTTGGATAGTATTTTTAAAAGAATAGCACAAATCTAGTAGGCTGGATAGCAGCTTGAGCTTCGGTAATTTATTTTAAATGTAGTAGACTAGTAAATGTTAATTTAGGCTAATATGCTAACGTTACTAAACTCTGTTTTAGCTCTGTAGTTGAACTTCCAAAAACAAAACAAAACAAAAAAAATGATTGACGACTTCGAGAACCAGGAGGTTCGGTCCAGCGGGGAGCTCTGGTCCGAAATCTGCTCCAGTCTGCCAGAGGTCCGATCCGAGACAGCTCCGGAGCAGAACCCCGATGACTTCACGGACTCTTTCCGTCCAGGAACGCAACGACAAGGCCTGCAGGGCAAGAATGGACCAGTAAACGGGACCAGTTCACCCAGAACAACATGGGAACCCATGGAGGACTCTGAGGTCTACATCGCCAGTTTAGGTATTTGCCTGCTCTCCTCTTAAAAAGTGCATCACTAATAGAGACGCCTTCTTGTCACATTTATAAATACAGTCCTTTTTTTTTATTTTGCAGAGAATCGCCTGAAGAAAATAAAGGGCCAGTCCAGCACCGTGACCTCCAGAGACATGCTGCTCTCTTTGTCCCAAGCTAAGAAAGAGTGCTGGGATCGATTCCTGCATGACGCCCAGACCTCCGAGCTCTTCCAAGGTGGTGACATGGACGAGAGGTAATCAGTCACGTGTGAATCAAAACATCCAACCGTTGTCTTTACACGCTGGTGTCTGTCCCCAGCACATTTGCCCAAACTCTTCCTGTGTCATCTTTCTCAGTGCTCTGGAACACCTGAAGAGGTGGCTCATCCCAGAAAAGGTGGCCATCAGTGCAGAGGAGCTGGAGTATCTGCTGAGGCCATCACAGAGCGAAGAACCAGCAGGGTCCGATCAGACCCAAAACGGAGCMGAAGATACGCACAACGCCGAGGGTGACGACCCTCACGACCCGGAGAAATGACTACGTTCAGATCTGAGCGCGGCCTGAAGTCATTTGTAAAATATTCTGTAAAGACGAGGAGCTTTTGTCACAGAAGCAGCTTTTATAAATATCTTGATGTCTTCAGTCTCTGTATTCTCAGCTGAGTTTCTGCTCTTATCATCAAACAGATGCATTAGAAACTAGATTTGTTTTTAGATATAGAACAGCAGAAATAAGTTAAACCTCTAAGAGGCTTTATCTAATTATGCAGAAATGAACGAGGGAACATGTTTACTGTCATGTTGCAACACTTTGCACACAAGATTTTTTACAAGTTTGTCTTCTATATGATGTAATGAGATGTTTACGTGTTGAAGAAAATGCTGTAATATACTAATATTTCTTTTGTTATCCATATAAAAACAGAATTGTTTCTGATTTTAGCTTCTAAAACAGCTGAAACATATTAAAGTGTCGTTAAAACCTGCCTGCTGTTGTATGATTAAAAGAACAATTTAATGATTAAAACGGACTTGGTGGTTTATTTGTCACAAAGCATGACAGATAAAACTAAGGTTAAAATATGTGCAGCTGCGACCATTTAGAGCTGAGGCCTCATGTGGCTCTGATCCCTCTGCAGTGGCTCTGAAAATGTGACCACAGCAGGTAAAATAAGTATTGAACATGTCACCATTTTTCTCAGTAAATATATTACTAGAGGTG